TGTAAATATAGATAATAAATTTTTTAACCTTAAAAAAGAGGAATCTGCGAGTGTAAAAAAAATAGGTCCCCCACCGTACTTGGGATTCGAACCCGGAACTTTCTGCTGTCTATAGGCCTATTTGTACTTGTAAACCGGTACCAGCAGTATCTCTCGTCTGTCCACAACAAGGACTGTATTAACCAGTAGGCCTACATCTGGGGTAACCCCTTACTCGTCTCGAAAGATGTACTGACGGTTCTTTAAAATGCACATGAGCTAAATTGTGTACGGTTTAGAGTCCTTATCCGAGAAGACTTTTGTTACTACCAGGACCATGCGAGCGTGCCGTTCGAGGCAGCGCTAATATCGGCTGTACGTTGCGGCGCCCCGTGTCTTAACTGCTCTTCCATTCGACTCAAATTCGTAAAATGATGCAGATATTTTGTTGGATTTTATTTCTATATGCATTTCTTAAAGCTTTTTAACCTTGTTTTTTAAAGCATCCTATGTTATATCAAACCACTTGTTTCTTATTTTTCCATAATTTCGATTATTTATAATAGAAGAGGTTTATAAACATACCAAAGAGTTATTATCTGTAGTTTAAATGTTTCGTGTTCATATCGTGGCCTGAATTTTCTATTGTTTGATTATACATATTTTCTAAAAGTAACATTTCTCATGTTCAACAGCAGCGCAAAGCACTGGGCCCAGGGACTATTAGGAAACCGTTCTATAGGCCTTTAATTATAATTAAAATAAATGTTTCCAACTTAATAATAGAAAAAAATAATACATTTAGCGAGCCCCTGAATAAATGTTTTAGATAAAGTATTTGAGTATTGTTTTCATTTCAATTGTGTATTCTTGTATTTATTCTTAACAAAAACTGGAATCACTTGGAGAGGAAAAGGAGATTCAAGGGAAAGCAATTACCACTTGGTAATTTCCTCTGGTACCAAGATACGGCGAGGTTGTTCATACTTAGGAACTAGTAGAGTACCAATTTCATTGTTATTGGCAGGATTATCAGTGTTGATTCAAAACTGGCTGGTATGTGATTTACGGTACCTCCACACACCTCTCTTGATGACCGGTAAATGTGTGATCGTTTATTTATTTTAGTTCCGGTATTAACGGATATCATATCATTTTCTCCAATAACTTTATGATATCCAATATATTTTACCCATGTTTCATTTGAAATCAAAATTTTATAGCCTATAATTACAAAATTTTCAGTCAGTAAAGGTGTTCCGCATCCATTACTGTTCCATTCTAGGAATTGAGATAATTGATATAGAAAATTGATGGGTTATTATGGCATGTCTTGGCTCCTTATGAAAACCTTTTTTCATATTTCTAGCCACAATGCAATCTTAAGATTGTAGAAGGACGAAAGTTGAATATGACAGAGACAGACTTCTTAAGCTCATGTAGGCCTATAGGAAATTGAAGAAGAAATAATTTTTTTTCTGAAAAAATGTGTAATCTTCACTTACGTTGATTGTGCCTATTTTGTTATGTCCTTCTGCTTCCTTCTTTTCCTCTTGATCTTCTACTTTCTTTACCGTCTGTTTAGTTTTCGCTAACACGTCTTTTTGTTTAAACTTTTCAACTTTGAAAAATATTGGCCTTAGTCTTGATACGGATTTTATACGATGAGCTTTTCCGAGTTTGTTCCAATTATCTTTGACACATGAATATGATCTGATGCGTTTTTCATTTCTTCCATCCCACTTTTCATTTTCGTTGTCATTAAAACCATAAAATATCAGACTATTCCTTCGACACTGTCCTTCAATATTTTCTAACTTAATCATGAGAGATTTGTTTGTCTTTTTCAGTTCTGTATTTTCCTTTTCCAAATCTGCCAGCCTGTTTTCTATTTCCTCCATCGATGTATTCATGCCATCTATCGTATTGTGTGCTCTGCCAACATTCTCATCTATTTCCTTTATGCTGGCAATTACTTCATTTATTCTTACACCCACAGCATTATCGCCAATTTCCAAAACGTTGTGTTCTATTTTCTGATTTAGTCCAGTAATTTGTTCCATTATGGTACTTATTGGATTTTCTATTTCTGCTTCACTTGCTTCTGTATCTCCTCCTTGTCTATCTTGAGTTGGGATCATATTTAGTAATTTAGAATTTTTAAAAATTTCTATTAATAATGGTACTATATACAGGTGTATATTACGTGGGACGAAAGTAGTGATTATTTTATTTTTATTTTTTTTTAGCTAATGGTAAAAATAAGGTCAAGTTGTCTATGTGAAACTTACAAAGTCTAAAACAACGATAAATTGTGATGACCCGATCAATTATTATAGCGAGAGTTCAATGCTCCTTTTCAGATCAAGTACATTATGACATTATCCTCAATCATTTGAGCTATGCAACTGAAAATGTTCAAAATATCCTTCAATGCAGTGTCCAAATATTATAGCAACAGAGCCCAGGTAACGACGATCCACACCAGGAGATAACCAGATATGAACTTCAAAGCGCGTGGCTTAAGGGAAGCTGGCTAACATCGTCTGCGGATTCCAACTAAGGACTAGACATATATACCGTCAAGCTAGAATAAATCCTCCGACCCTGAACTTTATTACAATAGAATTCAAACAAGTTTTGTAATAGCATTGTTGCCTGGTGCTATACCATATCCATGTTTAACACTTTTTCGCAAAAACCTTTTCGATCTGGTGGAGAACGCACTTCAAAGACGTTCATGCTTATGGGTGATTATAGCGGGATTTTTTTTGTGGTTTATAAAATCTTCCAACTAAAGAAAACCCCCATGCCGACAGATTTTGACAGTCGTGTATTGTCACCGACCAGATCATCCACAAACAGTGGAGGTTTGGTTGCTGACCTTGCTTTTTGCTATAGACAAAAGATACTTGATGTTGAAGTATTGATAACCTAATTTATTATAAGAAATGCAACTTGCAAACAAAAGGAATTTGATTTAGCTACCGTACTCCATATGTCATTTTAGTCAAGTATATAACCAGGCTGACAAATCAGGTGTTCATTTAATAACCAATTAATATTTAAGAGCCACACAGTGATAGCAAATGGATTAGATGGTTTTTGTAGTTGCTAAATCGTGTAATACCCACAAACCTAAAACACTACATTTGTCATTCATGGTACCCCTTTCGAATAATGTACTAAGTTCTATTGTCATGTGCATGTGCTTTTCCAATTTTCCAATAGGCGAATTTATTCGCGCGAATCAAAGCGTCGGTTCTCTTCCTGAGCTCTGATTGGTTGCGCATTTTTTCGCTTCGCAAAAACTCCGATAGGAATGTGAGTGCGCATGCGCATGAACTGATGCTTTCGATTCGCGCGAATAAATTCGCCTAGTGCAAAACCGGCTTAACGTTTCACTCAAAGGACAAGTAATTATAGCAAAGTATCTTGCTTAAAGACACAAGAAGCACTAGGGCAAGTATGTACGGCATCGGCGCGGCAGGTCTCAAACTCGGTCATTTCGCACCCTAAAGTCCAATCCTTCAGGGCTGCGGTAGACCCCACAAAGGATAACAAAGAATAATACTAATAGCATGGACCTATTAATAAGTCCATGCTAATAATTTACATATGGATATAACACTGATGAATATGCACACTGACGCATATACGTTAATACGGTCCTCTGTCAGTACCGGTATATATTCAGATTAAGATTCAGAACAAATTTAGGCCCTACAGAAAACTTTTTGATTTGATTTGATGTATTTAATATGCTCTTTAAAAAATACAAAAAAAAACCAAATGCACATGAACAGATTAAATCACAAAAGATCATATAGGGGATAACCCTAAAATTGCAGGAAAAGACAATTATTTCCATAGGTTGGGGGGGGGGGTCCCAGAAACTATATCAAGATAACACTAAAATCACATTATTACATAATTACATATAGTCCATACAACCCTGTATGGACTATGCAATCTCAGTGTGGGGAACTACGTCTAACAAAAACAAAAACATTCTATTAAGGCTATAAAAACGAGCTGCTAGAATAAAATAATTTTGATTTTATAAATTTTCGTGGAATTGATCTTAATAAGCAAAATAATTGGAAACTTTTTGATGAACGTAGAGATTACGCCCTTGCATGTTTAATGTACAAATGTATAAATGGTGTTGCGCCTTCCAGCCTATGTAATGATATAGAAATGGTTGTTGACCGACATGGATATTCTACGAGATACGCTCACTCGCTTAATGTTATCCCCCCAATTCCAAATTTCTCTGTAATGAATGGCTCTTTAAAAATCTCTGGAGCAAAAGTTTGGAACAAAATCCCAATCAGAATTCAAGAATGTCAATCTCTTAATTTATTCAAAATTACTTATAAGAAACACTTTTTCTGATTTCACAATTCATTTCCTTTTATATTTTCTTGGTCTATACTTTTAACATATATTCCCGGCCCCGAAACTTGGACTCAGAAGTACCGGGATGGTGTCAGGCGGGGGATAGTTTTTACCATTGTTTAGTTAGGTTTGTAGTTAAGATAAAAGTTGTGACAGCCCCGAAACCTTGACTCAGAAATACCGGGATGGTGTCCGGCGGTGGATAGTTTCTACCATTTTTATCTATTTAAGTAATTATACAGTATTTGTCCTACCTGGTA